GGTTTACCACGAAAACAATGCGAAAGTGAAGAGGCGTCTCGTTGGTGGAAACTTTTATGTCACGCCACACACGGAAGGAAGTCAGTCAGTCAGTCTCTGGAAAATGGTGGGAACACCTCGAAAAAAACCTAAACTCAATGCTGGCTTTTGAGAACTTTAAGAGTTCCCTCCCTCCACCGCCAAATTCTTATCGCCTCTGGAAATCTTTAAATTTGTGTATTTCATGAAGGGTTCTTTTCTGCTGTGGACAACCAAAACTCTTTTGATGACTAATAAAACCTCAGAGAATGAACCGATAAAACGATTTATGTTTATTCGAAGCAAGGCTATTAAAAATCGAATTCACTTTTTTTGGGGGCACAAACAGAGAGCAAGAGAGAGAGAGAGAACAGTAGGGGAATGTCGCCCGCATTTTAAATTTGAAAATAAGAAAACAAAGACGATTCGTGTTGCGTCGCGTCGCGTCGCACTAATCAAAAATCGTTTATTTAACCCATAAATCTGTTGCGCGGGAGGGGATTGGCCGAGCAGAGCGGAGGGAGCCAAAAAAGTAAGTCCAGCGGCTGTACGTGTCTAAAATGTTGAGAGAACTCTGATCCATGGTAGGAGGTGGAATCGAAGAGGAGGCGGCGAGTCGTTTCACAGAATTTGCATTGACGTACGCGAAGCAACACAAAATTGGCCGACAACGAGCCAGCAGCGGACGGGGGAGACAAAGGCCCCTTCATGTCCATTGAACGACTCCCAGGGTTCGGTCCAAAAGAAGAAGGACAGAGCGAGAGAAGGAATAAACAAAAAGTGTTTCACGCCAAAGCAAATAAACAAAAATGCAAGCAAGAGAGAGGCAAAAACCAAAACAAAATCAAAACAAAAATACAGAAAAAGGAAGTTTACAAGCGGGTATCAAAGAGTTTGATACCCTAGAAAGTGCATTTTACTCATAATTGTTGTACGAAAAGTTAAGTTGGGGAATTATGTAGTTAAAATTCGAAAGAAAAGTTTTGGGAAGTTTTGGGATTTAGTAAGCCGATCTACAGAAAGGGTAACTAAGGCTTAACTAAGTTTACAACAGATAAAGGACCTTGTGATCTCATCGTCGCTATACCTTTTAAATATCTGTAAAAGGTACCAAAAGTGAAGAACATAAAGAGAAACAAAGCACAAACTAAAGAGAAAGAGAGAGCGAGAGAGGTGGGCCTGTGGAAGCTAAAGATAAAGCGCGCATTGGAGGCACAGACCGACAGCCAGCGGTTCTGCGGATGGTTTCGATGAGATAAGGAAAGGGAGAGGGAGTGCCCCCGCCCACAACATAATTTTAAAAATGGACTTTGCTGATGTCGTCGTCGTCCCCGTTGGTCTTTTCTCTTATCAGCAAAACCTAAAGAGGGGGGTCTGACACCGTAATAAGTGGGACAATGCTTGTGACTTGTTACTCGACCGATAAGCGCAGGGCAGCCATCGGGAATAAAATGGGGGCAGCGGTGCAGATGCTGGCGTGGGAACTGACGGTGGGATGGAGACACCGTGCGAGGTGTGATTCACGGCTAGCGAAGCTTGTTAGCGCTTCAATTTTAAAATTTGTTAAAAAATACATATCTGTACGTATCTTTTCTATGATTGCGCCAATGATTGGAGGCATGTCTTTTATGCTGCTACAACTGTTTCTTCTGGTCCCGCTCCCTCTTGATGCTGCTTGTCGGCGTGTGTCGCAATCTGGGGTCGCCATCATCATCAGCAGCGGGAGCAACAGTGGCAGAGGGCAGAGTGCTGCCTGATTATCATTCGGAGTTTGTTGCCATCTCCTCCAATGGCCATACTACCGGGGGATACCCTGCATTCAAGTGGAATAGGGAATATCCGCTTTTCATTTATTTGGTTTTGTCAGAACCCTCTGCAGCTACTGTTTCGGCTACTCCCGTCTGATTACCCTTTCTCTCGTTCTTTTCCCCCTCTCTTTTGCACCAGCGCGTTCATTTGGTTTGCTGTTTTGTTTTTTTTTTTTGGTCAAGGTGTGTCAATGGTAAGGTGAACAACATTCTGACTCTTCGAGATGTCACTCTCTTTCGCTGTCGAGTGTGTTTTCCTTTGCAAAGTGCCAAGAGCACGCTCTCTGGGAATGTCTCACCTCACAATTAATGTACTTGGAGCAGAAAATTTCTTGGCATTCCATGGCTCTTCTGCAGAGCCGGTCCCCGGTTTATAGTCACATGAGTGTGTGTGTGTGTGCGCTGATTCTTGTTCTTCTCTTTCAGCCTCTTTGGTTATTGCTTTCTTTGTCGCACAGATTTATGCAACTTTTGTTGCTCTCGCGGACTCTTTGGCTCTTTCCTAGTTTTATTTTTATAATGTTTTCTTTTATGACTTTTTTGCACTCTCTTATGCACCTCTCCCCCAACTCCTCATCCACTTTTTATGCGGCTCCATTCAATGTCAGCCAATTTCCAGCAGCAGCAGCAGCACCAGCAGCCGAGGCAGAACGCGAAAACCAAGAACAATGTGCGTCGTCGTCTGCCGATGATGATTCATAAAATATGCGACTGCGGTGGTGGCTGCGACTGCAGTGGGACGACTATAACAGGAAAATCAAGTGGAATGTGGCACTGCAGCTGCAGCAGCTGTTGCCCCTGGGACGGACCCTTCTCTCCCCTCGTTCGGCAAGAGTGCGAGTGCGGGTGCGAGACGATGTCGCGACGTCAGCCGAAATTGCAAACGAAGCGCAGCAAGCGCAGCGACGACGTCAGCTGACACAATGGGCAGCCATTGTGTGGGGTTCCAGAAAGAGGGGAAAGATAGCGAGGGGCAGGCAGAGTATGAGAAGCACACCAGAAAAGGGAGTAGTCAGAGGAGTATAACCACAAAAAGAAGACCAGAGGAGCACCACAAAAGAGGAGCGGAGTAGTGGACCGACCACAGATCACCCCATAAGAAAGAGCAAAGTAGGAGGATCTCCAATTAAGAGATAGGGGGGTACACTCACCTGGGTATGCTGATTAGGTAGCTGAGCAACCGTCGCAGATCCTCCGGCTTGAGGCGATCGCGACGCGGCGTTGCGGGGAAGCAGAGCAGTGGACCGCCACGCCTGTCCCTGCCGCCCGTTAGGAAGACGACACGCTCCTGGAGCAGCGTTAACAGATCGCGGGCACGCTGTCCATCCATGATATTGGATGTCTGGCTGTCCAGTGTGTCCGTCCGGGTGGTGTCCACTAGCTCTAGCTGCGGCCCAGCCGTTGGAGGCAGTGCAGCATAACGGTTTTCTACAGCCAGCTAGCAGCGGGTTTCACTTAAGCACTATTATTATTATTATTACTTTATTTATTATTTGCTGTGCTTTGCGGTTATTTCTGCAAAAATTTGTAGTTGATGTTTCACTTTTTTGTTTAATGATTTTGGTGCTTGTATTTCACTTTTGCTCATTGATTTTTGAAAATTTCTCGCTGGCATTTTCATGGTCACTCTTTTTGGATTGTTATTCGTAATGCGAGTGAGGTGTGAGTGTGTGGGAGGAGAAGAATTGGAATCAAAGAGGAAACGAAACAGCGCATGTTAGTGTGAGTGTGTGTGTTGCACATTTCATTTGTAAAATTCGTTTGCGGAGGGAGTTTTACCCACCCCCACCACACCCGCCTTTTGCAGCACAGAAAGAGATAGCAAGAGAAAAAGATAAAAGGCAAGGGGTGCCATAAGGGGTGCGGGGGAATATGTTAAATGTCATAAATCAAGTGACGCCGTCACGCGATGGCCGCATAAAAACATAAAAACTTGGAAAAGAAGACTACGCACACACACACACACGTACACTGATGCTCTTGTTCTTATTTTAAACACATGTGAAAGGGGGGGAGGAGGGAGTGGAAAAGAGATACAAGACACACACGCATGAATGGGGGAGTGGGAAAAATACACAAAACACACACACACACACGTTTTATGGGGAAGGGGCAGTGGGGAAGAGAAAGAACCAAACAAATCCCTCGAATGGCGATTGCGGCGCGCAAAATACACATTCTCTTCACTTGCAACATGCTAAGGGAGCAGGGGCACATCTTTTTAATTGCCACAAATTCACCAAAGATTCACTGAAAAACTCCAAGAGGCGCAAGGGGCACAAACACTATATCATCGCCAACATCATCCCGAACGTAGCAAGCAGCAGTTCTGCGTCTTTGCCTCTGCTGCTGTTTCTTCTTCTTGCCACTGGCTTCTCTGCCACAAATTGATTTTTTTCACACCGCGCGCACATACACACACATGCACAAACACACACGCAGCGCTTTTGTTGTTGTGGGGAAGCAAACAAATTTACCATAAAAACGCAAGCTGAGATCACAATACCGCTGTCACGTTGCATGTGCAGCAACACCGCTGTGGCATGTTTTATTTAAACAATTCTTTTTTCGTGTTTTTGCGAAAATGAAAACGCGATGTTGTTTGAACGAATTTGTACAGGGGGCTTCAAACAAAAAACAAAGGGTGCTCCCGGCAAACAAGAAACACCCACGATATTTGTTGTGTGTTTCGAACGAACGTGACTCATTTTAGCGTTCACTTTTTGAGTTTTAAGTTACATTTATGATTTTTGATAGATTTCGAATTGTTAATTTTAAAAAATTAATAAGCTAATTATTTAAAGTGTAATTTGTATTAAAATTGGATATTGTTATATGTTTCAGATGTTGTTTGAATGCCCCTAACAATAGTTGGACATCGTACATAACTATCGGTTACACTACCGATGGACTGTTGCTATCAGGGTTGCATGAAACCGATTAAATATTTCTTCCAGCTAAATTTGTTTGCAGGAATACTTTTTTTGGTACAAATAATTTTGTAAACGATTAATGGACTTCAACAGAAACACAGCTGATTTTACTTCGCGCACTTTATGGCAAAACTATCGACAGAAACATGAATTGATGTTTCGATACCCAGCACCCGATATTTTGTCTTCAAACAAAACGGGTGCTTATGATGTTAAAATACAAACCAGCTGATTAGGGTTGTTGCAGATATACAACTTCAAGTTTTAATATTTTTAGTTTATTTCGCACGGTTTTTGATTGTAAATTTGCAAACATTTTACGCAAAATAAGAAACACTTTCAGGCAGCGCAAGAACAAGTCACGCCAGAGGCAGCAGCAGCAGCAGCAACAGCAGCAGCAGCAAGAATCGGCAGCCCGAGACTCTGCGAGGAAAAGTCGCCTGCTGGCGGACACGGACGTAGAAATGGAGAGCAATCTCAATCGCATGATTAACCAGACGCTGCGCCATCAGCTGAGTGGACAGCTAAGCAAATATACGAATGTGATGAAGGGTTCGAAATCCAAGACAATTTCCTGCGAATCTCCCTCCTAAGTGACTCCTCTTTTTGCAGGCTGGCAGTATCGCTGGTTCACGGTGGACGCCAAGACAGGCTTTCTTAGTTACTACTTGTGCGACTCGTCTGCCGTTGGCGATGACATTGCGCCCTCGCCCCATGTCCTGGCGAGCGCCCCTCGCGGTCAGGTGCAGCTGGCGGGCGCCGTCGTGTACCCCAGCGACGAGGATTCGCGCACCTTTTCCATTGCCTGCGCCTCGGGGGATACGGTGAAGCTGCGTGCCAACGATGCTCGGGCGCGTCAGGAGTGGGTGGACGGCCTGCGGGCGGTGGTCGAGAGCCACACCAAGGCCATGGACATAAGCAATTCATCGCCACTGCCGCCACGTGAGCTGCTGGCAGCTTCCGATGCAATGGTTTCTGCCCGTCAGGCGCTGTTCCTCACAGAGCAATGGTTCGCATACCATTTTCTCATGTGAATCCATTTTAATATTGAAATTCTTTGTCTTTGCAGCAACGCCTCACTGGCCAGGGCCATTGAGAGCATCGATTGTGCTTCCTTTACGCCCACTGATCCCGATCTGCTGCTGCTCAAGGCCATCTCCACGGCCAGCACACAGTGCCTGCACCAGTGTCTGGGTCTGCTGCAGCGCCATCAAGAGATGAATCAGCCACCCGCGGCAGAGGCGCTGCCCATTATGCTCTAAAGCGGAGTGGAAGGAAACACTGCCCCGGAAGGAAGGAGCATCCATCATCGCATCTATTAACCAGTATTCCAGTATCTGAAAAGCAATAAACAGCGACTCCAAATCGCATTCGTGTGGGAATGTGCGTTTGGTAAGCGAGAAATTAGAAGACGCTCGTGCCACATCGGGTTTTGCTTTTGTTCGGGTTATCTTTTTCAATGTTTTTATAAAATACTTTTTTTACTTTTTCGTTTCGCTTCGTTTTTTCGGTTAATTAGAACATTCATTTTCTTTTTCATTTCATTTCGCATTTAAGATTAATTTGAACATAAAGTTTTGCACTAAAGTTTTGATAGAAAAACGATTGAAACATTTTGGACGTTGGACGTTGGATTCTCCTTTACTCTCTCTCCATCTGCCGGTGTCTGTTATACTTTTTTATTTTACATGCTATACCGAAAGTAATCTTTAAGTTAAGTTTTGTGGAACATCAAATTCTATGTGGGATTTCCAGGGGGGAGGCAGGTGGATTATACATATAGATATATTCGGGCTATGGCTATTGCTTCGCTTTATGCTGATGATGTGATGATGATGATGATGATTGTTATGTTAAGCCACAGGTTCCATATAGCAGGACATTCGATGTGAATAAGCGAGAACGAGTACATTCTCTCGTTAATTCGCTGTACATATTTATCCTAAGCGAACAACATTCACGCCGAATGCCCTGCTAATGTGGACGTTCTTGGGCATTTTCTTTACTCGTTATTATAATGATTTCTCTCCATCAATTGTGTGCTTGCTAAAATCAAATCAATTGCCAGAAGGTACGCCTAAAACATATATTTGCTTCCTAAACATCAAATAGAATGTCGCCAGACTTTTTTTTTTCAAATAAACCAACGCACACACTTGCTGCAGAGCTGTGGAGCAAGCAGGAGGGCCAGAATAGAAGCGGAACAGAGATGAAATTAAGGCTAGAAAAGGCACTTTAGAATGGGAATCATATGGTCAGGGATTACAGGTTCATCTAGGACTGTTTAGATTGGGGATTTTTGGGAAGACCCAACAGACTCTGCAGCAGTTGTCGTTATACAAAAATTTCGATTCTTTCACTAAAAAATTTCGCATCGTTTTCTCCTAAATTTGATCTAAAATTTCCTCTGTGTATAAATACTTTGTCTTAAAAAATTTCACATTTTGTTTTGTTTTTAAGTATTTTTGTTTTGTTTTTTTTTTCTTACAAATTTTGTTTCTTGTTCATCGCTGAATTTAATTCCGAAAGGCATTTTTTGTGAGTTTTTTTTTCATTTTGTGAGTGTGTTAGCCTAAACATTAAATTTAGTTTTCTTTTTCCACTTATAAATTTTGTTTGTTATAATTTTGTACATTTTTTTTCGTTCTTTTTGCTAAAATAAATTAAAAACCAAACCAAAGTCGGGCACACAATTATTTCGCTTACAAAATCTCGTTATTTAAGGTTTTTCATTGTTTTAAGTTACTTTTACATTTAAAATTAATTTTATTCTTTATTGTGGTTTGGAGTTAAAACTTTTGCGGTGTGAATTTGTTTTTGTCGGGGAATTTCTTCTGATTTTTGTAATGGAATGTTCCGGACTACTTCGGACGTGTTTTTGTGGGTGCTTACAAACTAAAGAGATCGCTATTTATCCGATGGACTATAACATAATAATACTTTGAATTTTGATTCAATAAACGTACGGCTAGAACCTAGGGGCGAAGTTTGAGTTTTAGAAGGAAACTAGAGGAATACAAATATATATATTTATATGTATATATTTATATATAAGTGTTACGGGTAGTCGTCTACCCTTTTGGGCTTTTCTTTTCTTTCTTTTCTTCATCTGATTTTAGTTGGTTCGCTCTTTTGATTGCTTCATTCATTCATTTTCTGTATCATTTCCATACTCTTTCATTAGCTACTCGTCGCTCGCTACTCGCTACTCGCTGGTGGTGGTTATGGGTTCCACTTTGATGCCACCGCTGGAACTGGAGCTTGCTGCCTCACCAATGGCCGCGGAACTTCCACCTCCTGCTGCTCCCTGCGTCACCGACGATGAGGAGGACACGCTGGCGCCCACCAATTCCGCCAGATCGTCGGCAAAGAGGCGGCTGGGCGAGAACTCCCGCTTGTAGCTGGACATCTCGAGCCCCAAATCGCCCAACGGCGAGTGCAGGCGCGGCGTTTCGCTGCGATGTGGACTGCCCTTCTTCTGGGGCATGCCCTTCTCCCCCAGCGAATGGGAATGGGAGTGCGGATGCTGATGCGAGTGCTGATGCTGATGCTGGTGGGAGGAGGAGGAGGATGATGCGGATGTGGAGGCGGCACTGGCCGCCGCCATGGAACTGCCACCGAAACCGGACTTGTGCTGCTGCATCCCATGATGCGCTGCCGCCGCCACCTGCTGCTGATGCAAGTGATGTTGCTGCTGCTGCTGCTGGAGGTGCAGCTGCTGCAGATGGTGCTGCTGCTGCTGGTGCTGGCTGAGCAGCGCCGCCGCCGCCGGATCGCGATGCAGTGCAACGGCCATGCTGGGCGGCAGATTCGGCAGCAGGCCGGCGGGGCCGCACGGCGAGGGAGCGTGTCGCGGGCCAGAGCCGCTGCTTAACGCCGGGGAAATGCTGCCCCTGCTGCCGGGTGGCCCAGAGGCCAGGTGTGGCGGCAGGTTGAACACCCCAGGCGGTGGCACCACCGGCGGCCCCGCCTCCCCGTGCTGATGCTGCACGGCGGCAGCCATCTGCATCTGCTGTCGTATGTTGTGCGCCACGGCGGCAACGGCGGCTGCTGTTTCCTGTGACATGTGCTGATCGACGCCAGGCCCTACGCCAACTCCGACTCCTCCTCCGGGTCCGCCTGGGACTCCGCCTCCACCGCTGCCCATGCCATTGGGACAGGCCAGAGCGCTGAGGCTAGCGGCTCCTGGTCCTGGAATGCCGCCACTAGCGCCTGGATAGCTGAGCGTCATCTCCTGCAGGCAAGAAAGAGACTTTCAAAAAGGATTCCTTCGAGGATAATGCGAACTAAAGTACCGAGTGACGACCGTAGGGCGGCATGTGGCCGCCTAGGCTGTCGTCTTTCATGTCCTTGGCATCGCGAAAAACCACCGTCTTGATCACGCCCTTGATGTGATCATCGGGCCAAATGCCCAGCAGGATACGCTGCGGTCGGCCACGTCCCTTGGGCCGCAAGTCGGGTCCGCCATCGATGGAGGGTCCCAGCATATTGTGCACCCGATTCGCGTACAGCACGAACGTGGGATAGGGAATGTCGTACTTGCGGGCCGCCTGCGACAGGGAGAGACCCTCCTTGAGCACACTGAAGATAGCCTCGGCCATCGTTTCGGGTCGCCACGACTTGAGCGGTCCACGCTCCCGGAAGCGCATGTGGTGCATCAGATTCTGATTGGTGTTCCAGCACTTTTGCCACATGGACTGCAGCTGGTACTGGTAGCTGTCTGCTGAAAGAGTCACACAAGTGGAGAGAGCAAAGGATAAAGTTGTGCATAATATTTGACATCGTTTTGGTACGAACCTGCCAGCGTGGAGCCAGCGGTGGCCCCCATCCAGGCATGCGAATTCTCCATCATTTTGGCCTGCAAAGAAAGGGAGAGAATGAGATAAGTGCGACAGAGATGCAGAGTCGGTTGAGGACTGCTTCAATTAATTGTATGAATCGCTTTGGTTAGCGCTCAATGCGGCATCTGTTATTGTCCTCCAAGTGCTTCCCCGTTACCCATTACCCAACGCTGAGTCTGTCTCCTGTTTGCCACTTGATTGACTTGCAAAATCGACCTATTTTTCGTTTAATTTCATTGCTTCGATGCTCCTTCAATCAGTGGCAGTAATGGACAGCATTTTAGCTTTAACGAGTGGGAAGTACACTAGCTGGTAGATGGTAACGAGTAGCGAGACAGCAGTAAAGAGTGAGCAGCGTGTGACTAAAGCAATTACTGACGTGTAAGGAGTGTAACGAGACATTCGTCACTGATGTCTGGCTAGCGATTGATAAGTAACGAGTAACGAGAAGCTTCATTTATAAGCTGTAGCAGCCACAGTTTGCAAGTTACAACTCTCTAATTTGCTTATGTCCTGCATTGAGTTCCCATCTACCCAGCCACCAAATCTCACAAAAATCGTTAAATATTTTCCACAAAATTTCCAAAGGGTATATTTTATTTCAATATCCCCTGCCATTTTTCTGCTCTCCAACATAGGATAGCAGTGCTCCAATTTCGATAGCGATGTCAACGATACATTTAACTGGATGGCTAAGCCCTCGAGTAGGTGGCTTCTGATTCGCAGACGACGACGATGTCTGTCTGTTTGCATCGAGCAACGGTGCAACGTGCCGTTCGTTTGCCTCCCATTGAATCCACTAATTGCATAACAAAGTAACATTTGCATATTGTTCTACATATGTTAGTTAGGAGGAGTGCAGGTGCTTAGCCCAGAGACAGCCAGGGGCTGGGGGCTCTCTCTTTTTTTTGTGGATCCACCTCTTCGATAACTTCATTACAAAAATGTTCATGCATTGCATGGATGGATGGTTGGATGGCTGGCTGGCTGGCTGGCTGGCTGGCTGGCTGGCTGGTTGAATGGAGAGTGGCAGCCTGATACTTTTGGATGGCATATCAAGTAGAGGCACGGCCCCACTTGTGCCCATTTAGCGTTAAGTATTACTTGTAACTTTTTTGTGTATGCCATGCCAGTCCTGTAGTGGCTGTCCTGTCACTTGCCATAGCTCCTAGCTGCTACTCTCATGGCTGTTTAAGCGCCAGACAATGCGCAGCACAAATCGCTGCCTACTTTTATGTGCTGCAAACATGCAAAGTCTGCCTGCCGGTCCACGATTTACTTTTCGGCTCATTACCGCTTGCAAATTATACATCCACAAGTTATGCAAAAGTTTCTGCTTCATTGCCCCCGTAATTATGGGTCTCTGCTTTTGGAGATAATTTTTTCTTTACCTCTCGATCGCTCTATTTGTGCGGGGATCTTCCAATAATCAAGCTTATGATTTAGTGGCGGAAAGCCTAGGCCAAGAGCCTCTTTGGCAAATCATTTATTTATTATATGTTGCAGCTGACTGACCAAAAGCTGACTGCCACATGCCACATATGCGACAAGTGTGTGTGTGTGTGTGTGTGTGTGTGTCGTGTGGCATATAGACATGGCGTGGCGCTCCATCCTGAGTGAGATTTCATTACGACTCATTTGACAGTCTTGGTGCACTCGACGCTGCCAAAATGTCATAGCTGAGTGGCATGCCCCACTCCCCCATCCGCCACACAGCGACGGATTAGCGGACGCCCAGCACTCCATCCCCCCGCTTTTGGGGGCGACTCCACACGAAATTAAGCGAAATGAAGTTGACCACGCTTCGATTTTGCATCAAAGCGAAATGCTTGACCCCTGGCCCTCCCTCTGCCCCACTTGCCGCATGCATTGTTAATACGATTCGAGTTCAACGTCAATAACCAAGTGCCACGAAATGGACCATTACGTTGGGTTGCAAATGTTGCTTGAATGCGGGTCTGCCTGCCACACGCACACACCCACACACCCACACACACGTCTAGGAAATAGTATATATATATTGTAGCAGGATGTATACAGCTGCATTTATGTATTCCATATCTATATATAATTATGCGGCGGCTTAGCGCGATGGCTGGCAACGTCTTTGGCGGATGACACGACTCCACGGCGGATGCCGTGCTGCTGCTGGTAGCTGTTTGTCTTTGGCTTTGATGCAACACGCACAAACAACAACACATTTAATCAGCAGATTGACGCACGGATAGAGACCGTTAGAGACCGTCCGCATTAAAGCGATCGAAGCCAAGCCACAGTTTGAGCCTCAAAATCGAATTAGTTTATCCGCCGAAAAAAAATATCTCTCAGTCTCTCTTTTTGGCATCTTTCGCCATCTTGATGTCGTCTGGTGACAGACACGCCCCGCGTGTCAGAGAGACGGGAAGAGGGCGTTACTTGCCACGCAATTGAAACCTTTTTTTTTTTGAGGCAGGTTTTCCCCTTCAACCTGTAGTCTCCAGTGCGGCAGGGTCCTGGCCCCCTTCATCCTGTTGTCTATTGAGGCGTTAAACCCCAGCCTCAATTGGGCGTGAAAGAAGTGGAAGGAGCAGCGGCACAAGCAGCACTTCTGCGGTGTCGACTCCCGGGGGTGGCCGCCGCTGCCACAACTTGTGATTCGTTCAAGCAACATGCCTCAAACACGCTGCCAAAGTCTGAGGTTTCTGGCAATGCAATTTAACCAAATTCACAGCAGGAAATGCCAACGGGGGAAGGCAGCAACGAGGGGCTACAAATTTTCTAATGCCACTGTGGAGAGTGTAGAAAAAAAATAGGCAGAATAAGCAGAGATTCGGCGAGGAAGACGCTCGGGATGCCCTAGAGAGGACTTTTTGATGGCAATTTTGTGAGGATTGTTGAGATTTTAATGTTTTTTTTTTATGGGATATGGTTAACAGATTTTAAGGAAAACTTTAGGAGCTGTGTACAAAATGTGCTACATTTAAGTACGTAAACAAAAAAGTTCTTCCTTGAAAGACTTGTTTTTAGAGCTATTGTTTCTATGGCAGCTATATGATATAGTGCTCCGATCGGACTGAAACCGACAAATGATGTGCCTTTACATGCAAAAAAATTATGTGCACAATTTCAGAGTAATATTTTGAATATGCAGAGAGTAATCGAAAAATTCGAAAAACAATTCTTAAAAATAAAAAAATTTATATATTAAAATAAAGCTTTTTTTAAGCTCTAAACAATTGTTTTACAAAAACTATGTCCTAAGAAAAATAAACTTTTTAAGATGGTCAAAAATATCTTAAAAATAAATAATAAAAAATAATAAAAAAAAATAAAAAATAATAAATAATAATCATTTCTAGTAAAATCTAGAATATAATTTAAATATAAATTTCTATTACTCAAACCCGTACTACCCCACAGGAAAGTGTACATAAAAATAAAATCTTTATTTTTTTTTTGGCTGCTGCAAGGAAACGACTTTGCCCACACCCCGTGTCTCGGCTGTGGACAGATTCACCCTCAGCCGCTTGGGCTTGGGCTAGGCAAAGGGCGGCCGGGGGCCGGGGGCCGTGGCAGCAATCTTTTGACGCTCAGGAAATTGTCGAGTGGCATCGAGAAGTGCGAGTGTGTGATTGGGTTCGTGTTTGTGGAAAACCGAAAATTAATTAGCGTGAAAAGCATTATTGAATGGGAAAATCAAAAGCAGCAGCAGGAGCAGCAGCAGGCAAAGATCTTGACAAAAACTTGCATTAGTTTTGGGGTAAAACGGAATAGGAATCGGCATGGGAATATGCCTAAGCGGCAGCTCATTTCCTATAGATTTTGCACTTCCTCTGCCACACACGGGAGATGTCGCCAGGCAGTGGCAGGGGGTAGGGAATAGACTCCCCGTCGATGTTTTAATTTGATTTAGTCGCAGAAAACTTGCCTCCTTCATTAAAATTCCGCAACAACAAAATCAACTTTTGGGCTGAGCTAGTTTTTTGGGTGCCACAACAACAGCAACAGCAACAGCAGCAGCTCCAGAGCCGAGCCACCGCGCACTTTTGCTACTTGAAAACATCAATTACAGATGCCAGAGGAATGGAAATGGGAATATATGTATGTAGCGCCCATCCTTGCGATATCCACAGGCCCTTGGGCGCTTCGCTCTGCTCGTTCTGGAGTGTGCTAGGATTTCACTTGAAAACTGCAATCAAGTGAATTTTGATATACACACATATCTCTAGTGTGTGTGTGTGTGTGTGTGTGTGTGTCGGAAAAACTTCATGGATTTAATAATCAAACCATTCGATGGTTAAAATGTTCCTCGAGCAGCAGCAGCAGCAGCCGGCAACCGGCAAAAGCCCTTCTCCACCATCGAGTGCCGCCGCACCACTTCGATGGGACTGCTGGAGCTGCTTCTCCCTCGTCGACTTGTTCGTCATTTCCTGTACAATTTTATTATATATGTATGTACAGCAGGACGAATGTTCGTTCCAAATACAAATCGTTCGCTACACTATGATGAGGCTCATTGCAGCAGGGGTGTAGGTGTGGGATGGTTGTGCCCCAGGGGGTTGGCACTGCCACTAGTATTTTCCCTCATATGTTTTGTTGCATTTACGAGTGGGTACCAAAGAATCAACGAATGCAAAAACAGTTCAATAATATTCCACAGCCGAGAGTTAAGCTTGAATGTAAATGCGGTGGAAAATGCAGGGGGGGAGTGGGGAGTGGGTGTCTGGTGCTGGGGATATGAAATTAGCGCACAGTTATTAGAAAATACTTGCAGCCGAGAGTGTGGCAGCAAAAATGTTGCAGGGCCAGAAAATGTTGTAATGAATACGGGAACTGCCTTTTGGGTTGATTTTATTATTAAAGCTCTAAGAGTAAGCCACAAATCCCAGCCCTTCCTGGGTCTGCTGCTGTGTCTGCAATTTTTTAAATAATTTTTTAAGCCACTTTTTACAGTCCGTAAGCCAAGCAAAAGGTTCCACAAAAATGCGTACCATTATCTACAGTTCCAACTCTATTTTGCACTACAATTTTCGAAACC